ACAAGGCCATGAATGAGGTTAAATACCCGAATAAGACACGTAAATACGGTGGAATAGAGCATATTTTCCGCTTCCATGGTGGGACTAACATATTTTGTTTACATTGTTATTGGGTTGTCATCTCCTTGAAATGATTTAGGTCATAATATTGTCCGATTCAAAGAAATACCTGGTCTCGAATATTACGACGATGACGATAATCCTGTGAAAGACGACGATTTGGAAAGTAAAATGAAGCTTATTCTGAAGAAGCTCAACGGCCGATAAGTGGAGCTGGCCGTTCCTAGCGCCAGTTGATGGAGAAATGGTGACAAAGTTTTTTTTTTGAGATTCTCCTTCACATGAATGGGTTCCGCTCTTCCGCTCCATTCATAACTTTCCTGTTTGGGTTACTCAAAGGTAAGGCTGCGTTTATACTTTGCGGCAGCGTAGCGTAGCGCTTCCAGCGTTTCGCTAGCGTTTGCAGCGGCGGGGCTAGAGAGTATAGAAGAGTAGGAGAGTACAGAATACTCTCCTACGCTAGAGAGTATAGAAGAGTAGGAGAGTACAAAATGCTCTCCTACGCTAGAGAGTATCAGTAGGAGAGTATCTTGTATGTACTCTCCCACTTTTCTATACTCTCTAGCCCTGCCGAGCGCAACGCTAGCGTACGCCAGCGTAGCCAGGGCATGGGATGTATAGGTATCGTTCTAGCGCTACCAGCGTTTCACTAGCGTTTCGCTAGCGCTTGCAGCGGCAGGGCAGCGTGCGCTAGCGTTACACCAGCGTACGCTAGCGTACGCTGGTGTAACGCTAGCGCTAGATCGATACCTATCCTGTCCCCGACACTGCCGCTGGCGTACGCTGGAAGCGGACGTATTCTGTACTCTCCTACTCTTCTATACTCTCTAGCCCCGCCGCTGCAAACGCTAGCAGTGAAACGCTGGAAGCGCTACGCTACGCTGCCGCAAAGTATAAACGCAGCCTAACGTGGTGGCGTTTCCGAAAAAATGTTCGAAACAAAAACCTATTCCTTCTCAGAAAAGGATCCTTCGGAACCATGGTAGCAGCGTCCCTTAGGTTAGGTCTGAGAAGTCGTCTCTCGTGAGAAGTGCCCATGTTCACAGCCGATCAGGTCCTAGTCTTCTGCTAGGCGCGGTCCCCGCTCTCTTCACTGTCGCTGTATTGATACTAACGGCGCTGTTATTAGAGACAAATTGTACACTCCTCCGTGGATCCTGGTATTTGCCATGTGTGAGGTCCGTAGCTGCAGTAGCATGCACTTACCTCGATTGAAAAAGCACGGTAACGAGGCCGGATGGTAGTGATACTCAAGTGTCGTCGCTATACTCCGCCTGCGCTGCCACGCGGCCAGCCACATGCTTAGCCATAACCAAAAGCGCTGCCTGTCTGCGCCGTCTCACTTGTGGTTGCTCTCCTACGCTGAGTGCTGTTTCGCTTCGGGATCGTGGTATCGACGCAAGGGCTGCGCATTGAGTACAGACGGAGTGCGTAGAGGGAAGCCGGTATGACTATCCCCCTAACTGTTCCCGTTCCCGTGCTTTTTGGGCAGAGAAAGTGACGCGCTACTGCTGCTGCGGTCCCATTCACTCCTC